GGGGCTTTGGGGGGAGGGGCGCGGCGCCCACCGCCCCGCCAGCGCCTTTCATTTCATTCCGGGGGTCTCCAGGAATGAGCCTGGCCCCTGCCAGGCCGGAGCGCGCGGATGAAAGGCGGCTCTCGGACTGAGCGCGGGGCTGCTCCCGCCCGGGCTGCGCGAACCAGCAGCGCCGGGGTGGGGGCGTCCCACCAGGCGGGGTCCGAAAGCAGGGACGGGGGACAGAGTTGCTCCTCGACTGGCGCCCCCACAGGACGCTCTCCCCCGCGGGCACCTAATCACCCCACTGGGCGGCCCCGCCCCCACTCCTGGGCTGGAATCTCGAGTCCCTGCTCGCGCCGTTCCCCTCTTTCCTCCGGGCCTTGGTATGCCCCAGGGGACAGATGTCTTGGGATCTTTAACATTTGGGATGCTGCAAATGCCGAAGTTAAATGAAATACCTCCGGGGAGGGACGGCCGGGGGGAGACTCGGGGAGAGGGAAGAAGGCCTGGACAAACAGGTCCTGAAGCTGCGAGGCAGAACCAGGGGGCGCAGGGCCAGGCGGGCGGCGCCAGATCTCCATGGGACAGGTAAGGGGGAGAACTTAGGGAGACCCCAGCGCAGGCGAACTGAGGGAATCAAAGCCCAGGACCCCCGCCTCTGGCCTTAGCGGAGGAGAGGCTCTGGGGGGAGTGGGGGGTTGAGGGTAATTTTTAAAAGGGGGTGAGGGTTCCAAACTCCTACCACAAATACATTTTCCCAACCCCTCAACCTTTCTCCTCCGACCTCCCCTCTGCTTTGGGTCCCCTGACCAGGTTCCGGGAAGCCAGAAAGCAGTCAAACAAAAGGAGCAAAGTCTTGGGCCGCTAGATGCGGAGGGCGCTGTGGGGGAGGGGCAGGGTGGACAGGACAAAGGGGCTTTTTAAGGAAAGCCGAGAGGTCTGATTTCAGGGCGCATTCCAGGCCATCTCGGAGTTCCTCTGGTCCCAGCCCATTCCACCATGGCTTGCTGGACGTGAACACCTTTCCCTGTAGGAAGGGAGGAGAGTGGAGAAAAAAAACTGGGAAGGGTCTCTCCCCCCAACCCTCTTTGGGCTTGGAGGGCTTTCCTCTTCTTCCTTGTTCCCTCTCTGCTGTAGCGCTGGTCATTGATTCATTGGTAACATTAAGTGAAATTTCAGGAGTGCCTGAGCCTGGACCTGGCTGGGGGCTGGGGAAGCCTCTGGAGGAAGCCCTTGCTTTAAAGAACTTCCAATCTCCTCTTTCAAAAGGACCTTAACCTTAAAAAAGAAAATTAATATATGCACTGGAGAGCGGATGACTACAGAGGGTGATAGAGCTCTCTCATTTAGGACTTTACTGTAGGAAATGTAAACTTTCGAGAGATGCAGTTTTTCTCTTTTTAGAGATCCAGTTCTAATTACCTTCATGTTATACAAGGAAACCCCATGTCTTCACCAGTCAGTTATCTTCCTGATAATGCTCTGGGATTTGGAGTTGGGATATCAGTCCCCTGACCTAGACTGGCTGGCGTGGGGCTCTGAACCCCAACTTCTGACTGACTTCTGGAATGCCCTCGCCTCCCTTGCTATTTTGAGTTGCATGGCCTAACAGTCAGCAAGATCTAGAGGATCCCCGTTGGCTTGCCATTTCCCTGCAAACCTCAGGTTCTGCTGGCCTGAGAATTGTTGCCTGTGTATGTGAGGGAGCAGGGGATCATCCAGAATTCCAGCGGGTCAGTGCAAACAATGGGATTGAGCATCTGTACCGCCCTTCAGAGAACTCAGGTGGGGGCTAGGGAAGGGCCTTGTAATTGGGTCTCTGGGCACCAGAGCATCTTTGGGAAGAATTCAGAGGTTTTGTGACCTTAGATGGGAAAAAAAGGACATCTTTATTTCCACCAACCTTTCACAGAAGGTTAACAGTGCCAGGGAATTTGGGGGTGCCTGTTGTCTTCGCCATCAAAGCATTCCTAGATAGCTCCATAGCACCTTGCAGTTACAGATGTTTTCTGTGAAAGCATCTACACCTTTAATGTTAATCAAGAAGCATGTATATTGCTGCCTAATTTTAAACCCATATTTCAATATAATCAGTTCTCTTAACTTTATTGTATGGATTAAAAATATGCTATGACGGGCCCTCCCTGGTGGCGCAGCGGGTTAAAGCATTGCACTGAGAAGCTAAAGCCACTTCCATATGAGTTCGATTCCCGCCTGCCCCGGAGGTGACCACATGGTGTGGCAGACCTCTCCTGACCCACCCGCTGCTCCCCTCAGCAGTGTACTTCGTCGATCTGCCTGTTCTGCTCCCCACTCTGTCTCTGGTGAAGCCTCTCACCGCCCCGAGCCTCTGGCCTGTACCCCAGTTCTGTATGCATAAATAATAAATAAATCTAAAAAAAAAAATATGCTATGACAGGATTCTAGAAAGTACCATCACCCCTCACCTGGAGATGGGGGATGGGCAAGGTGGAGGAAGGGTGTCAGCTAGTGCAGAGTCAACAGCTCCTCTCTGTTTGATGCTAGAAGGTGACAGACCCATGGGGTTAGGGTTGTGGAAGGCGGTTGGGAGGGAAGGAGCTAGCTTCTCTCCCAGTAGGGGGTGTTTCCCTGTTGGGGCCCTCAGCCCAGGGAGAGGAGTTGGTCAACCTGAGGACTCTGGTCTAGCTTTGTTTGGAAAGAGGGAGTGTACAGGAATGTGAAGGTGAGCTAGATTTGTGTACAGGAGCTGTGGGGATACAGGGGACGGGGAGGAGGCAGCGTGATCTGTGTCAGTGACTCACTCAGAACCCTGAAGATGCTTGGTGGAGCATTCTTCCTCCAACATCTCTGCCCATGGGGAAGGGAAATGAGGGTGGGGCTTGGTGGATGGGAGTGGGGGGGTGTCTTTCAGGGCTGGGGACGAAGCAATCCAGACATAAGTTGAGGGGGGCATAGTTGGATGAGATGAAGTCTTGGGGTGCAGTTTTTAATCTGCAGCATAGTCCTGTTTTTTCCAGCCTGCTGGTGGAGTGACCCAAGTCTACTACTCCTCCTGGTCTGAGTTCTAGGCAGTTTCAGCCAGTTTGGGGGTCAGTAGGGTAGGAGATCCAGGGGGCTTAGCTTTTGTAAAGAAAACATTCCATTTGGTCTCTGGTCCCTCCTATTGGGAAATAGTTTTGGAGCCTGGGGTCCTAGTATCCTCCTGGGGAGTAGGATTGGCACTGGGGTGTTACAGATGTGTGTTTCCATGAACTCTGTTGAGGAATGGGTGTAAAAAATAAACACAGAAATGATGGCTTTGAGCTTACAGTGGGGTGGGGGGGAATGTCTAGGGGAAAAAGCGAGAACAGTTTAATATTTCAGACCCTAGAGCCTCCCCATATGGAACTCCAGTGTCTCTGCCCTGCCTGGGGTTTTCAACATTTCTGATTTGGGGGAAGGAAAGCTGGCACGCGTCTCCGCTTCAGCACATGGGGAGAGCAATGACAGATCTGGTCCCTTGTAAATTTCTTGCTGGCATTCTGCATGGACGGGAGCCTCCCACTGGAGTCCTGGAGCCCTGGCATGCCGTGATTTTTTGGAAAAGGGAAACAGGCACGGAAAGGCAGTGGCCATGTAAGTAAAGAGAGCCAGGGTCAGGGCAAGGGGGCACTTGGTACTTCACAGCTCATTGGTGTACATGTGCCCATGGAGGCCATCAAGGCATGCTCCCTTTTGCCTTCTTCTGGGGTTCTTCCACGGGGACTCCCCTTCTCCTGGCTTCCCGCGTTGTCTCCGGAAGTGTAGAGGCCCAGGAGCTGGCTGTTGGCAGGATTAGTTCAGGGAAGGACTTGTTCACCTGCTCCTCCCCTCTGACTCAAGTCATAACAAGTAACTGGCTCCCCTGCCTCGGCAGCCTGGGAGCGACGCCTGGGAGCGACGCAGCAGGCGGGACCAGGGAAGGGACGGCCATCAGTGTGGGGAGGACTGGCGCAGCTCGAGAGCACAGGGCAGGCAGCCACAGGCCCTGGAGACCGGAGGTGACATGCAGCGCCCTGTGGCCCCCTGACCTGGGAGCAGGGGTATTTCCTGGACTCTCAGAACAAAACCTAGAAGCAGGTGAGGCCTTTGAGAGTGGGACTTTGGAGTCACAGGGCAGGTGAGCTGGGAGAGGCCGGCCCAGCCAGGGTCAGGACCCAGGCTGTAGTGATCAGCACTAGCTCCTCTGTGTTCAGGGTTACAGGGATGAGAGGGTGCTGCTGGTGAGCCCAGGTGAGGAGCTTGCCACTTGGTCCTGGGCCTCAGTTTCTACAGGAGAAAGGAACGGAAGGATGAGTGGGCCAGGACCTGACTTGGGCTTGGGGGTGCATTTGTGCCGGGGAGGCTTGGCAGTGGGCCTGAGAGGAAAAGAGGAATGCTGTTTCCCTCTTTGGCCATTTTTTGGGGGACAGTGTTCTGTCAGGTGAATGCTTCCTGGGATCCTAGACTGGGCTGCTGCTGGCTGCTTCCTACTGAGGGCCTGGGGGGAGGCCAGCTGCATCGGGGAGGTGGGCGTGTTCTCAGAACTGCCATTATCTAAAAGCAACACCAGGGTGAGGTGGGAGCTGAGCCCCGCCTGTGGTTCTGGGACAGGGTCCCCACAACCGGAGGGTAGCCGGGCAGGGACAGGTAAGGGTCTGCTCTGTGGCTATGTGGGTGTCCTGTTCACCCTGACATAGCCCAGAGGTTCAGATTCAGACCGGGGAGCGGGGAGGGCCGCAGACGCTGTCCAGTCTTTGCTCTGCCTGCAAGAAAGGGGCCGAGCCAGGTGAGGTGACTTCCCCAAGATGGCACAGGCAGTGGGGAAAGCAGCCTGAATCTGGGCTCCTGCCTTCTCATTGTCCTAGGTGCTTTGCCCTCACTGGTGCAGCGAGTTAGCCCAGCGTGGGCCCCACATTAGGTCAGGGCCTTGGAACACCAGGGTTCCCCCTTGACCCTGTGGTGAGTAGCCAGGCTGACCTGGGGCCACAAACTAGAGGAGAAGGGGGGGCGTGCTGAGGGGGCTGGCGCCCCCTGTCACTGTCACTTCCCACCCTGCCATTGGCAAAGGCCTCCTGAGCAACCGGAGTGAGTGGTCACAACTTCCCAGGGCAACTCCTTAGTGGTTAATAATTAATTAGCAAGTGTGACTAATTAATGGATCCCTCCCACATGGCCTCCTCCCCGTATCCCAAGCACAAGGCTGAGGTGCCAGCTGACACCACCTGCTTCCTAGCTCGGCGTGGCTCTGCCCTGGCTTTGGGAAGGGTTAGCGGTGCACAGATGGGTGAAGGAAAGCAACTGTGCAGGTGGGAAGCGCCTGCTCCTGCCTCCCACTCTGCCTGGGAGGGAGCAGCATCTGGGAGGGCCCAGTGGGGGGAACTCGCCCTATGTTCCCTGTTTTGGGTCCTCTTGTGGTTCATTTGCAAAGGCCTCACATAAACTTTTAAAAAATTCTACAACGCACTTTCTAGATTTCCTTGGGGAACCAGATTTCCCGGTGCAACACCCTGTTATCACGCGGTGCGGCACCTTGTTGCCCGGTACTTGGAGAGGCTCTCCATTGTTGGCTCTCGATTGATTGTTGGCTCTTTGGGTCTCCACAGGCAGAGCCTTGCAATGGGCTGTGGCCCTCAGCAGTCCCCTCCCCTTCCCTGCCCTGCTTTCTGCTCAGCTTTCTCAAGGCCTACACTTCTCTGTTGGGGCGGTGGAGGGGCGGAGCCCACCTCCCCCATCCTGTGGCCCTATGCCCCAGGAGGCAGGATAAGCTCCAGACAGAAACTGGAAGGACTTTTGGACTGTTGCTCAATGGGCTGACTCAGTGAGGAGGTGGCTGGGCCCTCCTTCCAGACAGCCTGCTGAGCCCGCCTCTCCCCACCCTGCTCCAGCCAAAGGCTGCCAGCCCAGTCCCCACCCCCGGCCCTGGCCCTGGCCCACTGGGACCCTGACCAGGGCTGTGGGTTGGGTGAGGAGAGAGGGGGTGGGTGGCAGGTGCTGTTTTGGTGACTGGTGCCCAGCTGGGCTGGCACACAACTGGGCTTGTGTCTCAGCCACCCACATGCTTGCCGGCCCCAGGAAGGCTGGTCTTCCTGGCCTCTGGCAGCTTCTACTCTAACCTCCCTCTCCTGCCCCCCTCAACTTTCTCTCCCCGACACACACACACACACACTCTTGGGTATCCCCTGACGGTGGGGTGCAGGCATCCAGGATCCAGGGTCCACCTTAAGGGGCTCCCAGGCATAGTCATCTGGGAATTGTTTTGGGCTTTGCATAGCTGAGTGCCCAGCCATTCCTGAAAGTGCCTTTAACAAGGGGGTGGTAGGGGTTGGGGGGAGAGGACGGTAGTCAGGCTGAGGAAGGTCAGCTCCAAGGGACAGTCAAGTCCCATGAGGACAGCGTCCCTTCCTACTTTCCTTTCCTTCTTGGTCTTGTCCTCTCACCCCTTCCTCCTGTCCCATCTGTCATCCTTTCTTCGCTCTTTCTCTTCTCTTTCTCCCTAGTCTCATTGGGTCCTGTGACCATCTTGGGCCCAGAGGTCTCTATTAAAACTGGGGTACCAGAGAGTCCGTGAAGGACAGGTTTACTGGTGACGCTTCCCTCTGAAGCCCCCCCAGCTCCAAGAACCCCCACCTCAGAATGCCCCCAAAACAGGGTCTCACTTCCTCACCTCCACCCCTCAAATGTTGGGTTTCTTAGCAATGTTTGGGGAAAGAGGTTGACATAACAGCTTTGTTGTTATTGTTCCTTAAAAGGTGGGGAAACTCCAGGCTACCTACAAGCCCTGGCCGAGGTTGGGGACGGTGTCACCCTTCCTGGCTCTGCACACCCCCCTCCCAGAAATCTACCATGGAGAGTAAGGATGAGGTCAGTGACACAGACAGCGGCATCATCCTGCAGTCTGGTGAGTGGTTGGGGAATCCCCCCTCGACCTCTGCCCTGAGGCCCAGGATCCAGGGAAGGGCAGGAGCAGGGAGGGCCGGGAGGGAGGCCGGAGAGGCCTGGCTGGACTCCTGGAAGTGACGCTTTCCTCCCCTGAGGGGCAGGGCCTGGAGATTTGAGTCTATCTGGAAGAAACATCTGCCGTGTTCAGCCCCAGTGATAAATAAGTAGAAAAATCTTATCTGGCTGGGGTAAAGGCCCTATCTCTGGTTGACCTGAGCCTACTGGCCTAGTCTGGAGAGAGGTCTGGAGAGAGGAGAAGAGGGGAGGCCTATGGGTATACCTATGGGTGAGCTGGGAAGAGGCTGTGGGGGAGGAAGGGCAGACGGGTGGAGGGGAGATGGGGTAGGGAGGAAGCAGATCTCTGCAGTGAGCAGAGGGAGGGGAGGGAGAGTGACGTGTGTGTATGTATGTGTGTGTGTGTGTGTGTGTGTGTGGCACCCCCCTTTAGGTCCCCTGTGGGGAGCCTGCCCCTCTGAGCCTGAGCTGAGATGTCGCCACCCTGGGCAGCCAGGAGAGGGCCAGAAGATGTGGCTCTTTGTGGTCACACCACGCCACAGCCTGTAGTCTGTGGGCGGCAGGAAACTGTGTGCTTGCCAAGGGGCGATCGTGAGGGGCGATCGTGAGGCATCTGAGGGAGGCTTCCTGGCCGGACTCAGCGCCTGAGCCTGTGTCCTTGCCGTGCCCAGGCCCCGACAGCCCGGTGTCCCCAGTGAAGGAGCTGACCCATGCGGTGCGCAAGCAGCAGCAGGCCCTGGAGGAACGACTGGAGGCCTGCCTGGAGGAGCTGAGGAGACTCTGCGTGAGGGAGGCGGTGAGATCTGCATGCCCGGCTGGCACACACAAACTCGGGGGACTCCGAGGAGCCCGAGCCATGTTGCACTGAGACAAGGGAGCCCCATTCCTTGGAGAATTCTGGAAATCAGATGAATTTCGGGAGGTGCCTAGAGTATCTCCCTGTGTGTGAGTGTCAGGCCTTGGCCTTCCCAGGGAGGGCAGAGCTGACCAGGTCTGGCACAGGGAATAAGCACAGGGGCGACTGCAGGGGAGCCAGGGAGCTGGGGATGCACGTGAGTCAGAGTAGATCTCTGAGGAACTGAGCAGGAGGCTTGCAGGGTGTTGAGGGGGCCCCGAAGAGGCAGGACAGGTGGAGGGTTGGGAAGGGCCAGGGCCTGGCCTAACCTCCTTCCCCCACAGGAGTTGACGGGCACCTTGCCAGCAGAGTATCCCCTCAAACCAGGGGAAAAGGCCCCGAAGGTTCGCCGCAGGATCGGAGCAGCCTACAAATTGGATGAGGAGGCCTTGCAAAGGAAGGTGAGGAGCTTCAGGAAGCCGTGGTCACCCTCCTTCCCTGAAGGTTGATTGCCAAGTCCCTCCGGCTCCTCTCCACCCGCCACACCCAATGGGTGCTGGCTTTGTGTCAATAAAGGGGTGCCCACTCATGTGTGGCTCAAATGCCCAAGGATTCGGGGCTGGGCCTCTAGGGAGGATACTGGCTTCAGGCCCCACTGGGCAGAAGATCAGTGAGGAGCACAGCCACCACCAGCCCAAAGAGGCTGTGGCCTGCTCAGACAGGTTCCTCTGGCCCCTGGGGCGGTCCTCCTCTTTCTTGGCATAGAAGAAGGGCGTGGGGCTGGCATGGCAGCTGTCCCCCTGGGCTGCTCTGCCTAGGCCCTTGGGGTCAGGAGGGAAAGGAAAGTGTCCCACTTTGGTTCCCTCCCTACCTGGCTCAGCGGGCAGGCCGGTGGGTGGGTCCCCGTGCCAGCTTTCCAGGCTGACAAGTTTGCTGTTGGGCACCTGCCACCACTCCACCCTCTGCCTCATGTCCATCCACGGAGGCAGCCGTCTGCTCCCCAGCCATAGGGCCAGGGGCCCGGGCTGTCCTCTGGGCACCACCGGCCTCTCCCACACCTCACGCTGCCCCTCCCTCAGGACCCCCTGAGCAGCCTGGAGCAGCAAGTGGCCCTGCAGCTGCAGATCACCGAGGCGTTGCGTCAGCTGGTCAAGGAGGGGAATGTCAGCAGGCAGACCCGCCGGCAGCGCAAGCACGCCATGCTGCAGGAGGAGAAGAAGCTGCGGGAGCTGGAGCGGTGCCTGGGGGAGCAGCGGCGCAATAGCGGGCCCCCTCCGGCCCCCGCCCTCCACCTGGGCCCAGGTGAGCCAGCAGCCCGAGGGCCCCCCTGGCCCGAACCAGGCCAGCCCCGTGCAAGCTGTGGGGGGCCGGCCGGCAGTGGCACGCGGGGATTGCATTTGCCCGCTTCTGTGTTTAAGGTTCTGTATCGGCTCCTGCTTCCTGTGCCTCCTCTACACACCATCTTTACCCCTTGGAGCCCCAACAAGCCTAAGCGTAGGGCTACTTCATCCTGTGGGACTCCTCACCCTTACCCCTAGGAGAACATCCCACCCCTTCCTCCATGACTTCCTCAAAATACACCATCTCAAGACCTCCTGGACAGAGGAGGTCAGACCTCCTTTTCTCGGCTGACCTCTGGCTTATTCCAAAGGTTTATTTAACCGGACCTGCCCTCCTGGCCTCTAGGCCCACAGGAGGTAGATGGCTTATCTGGTCAGCGGGCCTCAGCACGGCCCTGGGTGCAGAGTCAGTCACCGCCTCGCAGTGCGATCATTCAGGGCTCTCAGCTGCTCGTGGGTGTTGAGGCTGAGATTCAGCACCGCCAGGGCTAATGCCACAGTCCATTCAGAATCTGGAACTACCCTGGTTGAGACTGGAATTCTTCTACTCTGTTCTCCACCCTTCTTGCACCCTGACTGTGGTCCTGTGGCCCATGGGATAGAGACCAGTGGCTGTGGAGCCCAGGGCCAGCCAGCAGTGGACATCAGTTTGTCCAGCCCAGGTTATCTTCCAGCAGGTGGCCCTGAGCCCTGTTTTTCTTTTCCTGACCCACACCCAGCTCAGCTCAGGACTCAGCCTCATGCCCAGGCTTGCCCCCTCCCCCTAGCCCCTCAGACCTTCCAGCTGCCCAAGAGGGAACAGGAGAAGGGAACAGACGGTGGCCCTGGGGCAGAACTGAATTCTGAGGCCTTGTTTGCCCATCCACATGCCTGGACTCTGAGCCCTGGACTGCACGCCCAGGCCACACCCCTCCCTCGCTCAGACGCTCGTATAGACCCAGACAGCCCTTCTGGTCCCTGTGACCCTTCCCTTGGGCAGGAGAGGCCTCAGGAGCCCCTTGCCCTACCCATTCTCTAATTTAGGGTAGAAAAGGTGTGACCAGACACCTCCGTGGTCACCTCCAGCTGCCTGGAGTAGAGGACAAGGGAGAAGCTGCCTCTTGTGACCGCTGACCCAGTAAGCACATGAGACACTGGATCTGGTTCACAGGGCTGACTGCTGGGGGTCGGGCCCCGCCTGGCTGCCCACCACATTCTGGCCCCTGAGCTTCTGTTGGGAGAGAAGCCCTCCCTCTCCTGCCCCATGCCCTGTGGCTTTTCCTCCCCTTGAAGGGCAATTGCTGGTGTGGGCACGGACATGCCAAGTTGGGAGCCTCAGTGTGCAGGAGGGAGCCAGGGGAGTGGCATGTACCCCAGGCCCCACTTGGCATCAGCCCCTCTGTGTCTGCAGCCACTTCCTCTGTCCACTGGGCTGCAGGCGCTGGGGTGGCCGAAGGTGAGGGGATGTCACTGCAGCTGCCATGACCCCATAGTGTTTCTTGTTGGTAGAGTGGGCAGGCCAGGGTGTGCCCAGGGCTTGGGTTTAGCCTTCTGTGGGAGGTAAGAGGTTCTGGAAGCTGGGCACTCAGTCAGGTGAAGCCAGAACTGGGGAGAGAAGCTGGCATGGCTGCTGACCTTTGACCTCCAGATCAGAGAAAAAGCCTCTGCTCTCTGGCACCTGCAAAACCTGTCTGGTCACAGGCCCAGGCCCAAGGTCCCAAATTCTACTGTCGGGCCTTTGAGGTGCCCCGCTGTGCACACCCTGAAGGGGGAAGGATTAGTGATTGGTAGCTGAAAGATGTTTTCATTTAAAAAAATCAAAAATAATCAAAAAGAGAAAGAAAGCAAAAAACCACCCTGACCCCGGGCCTGCACACAGGGGTCATTCAGTCGGGGTTTGCATGCGCCCAGTGAGGGCGGTGACCTTGGCTCTGCAGGTGGCCGGCGAAGTCAGGGGTGACCCCCCCCAACCTCACACCTGGGGTCTCAAAGGCACTCAGAATGTGTTTGTTGACTGACAAGGCCCTCCATTGCCTGGTAGTATTTCTGAAATGAAGAAAATATTTATCTGCACTGCCCATGTTGGTAACTACTAGCCACACGTGTCACAGGGGAACTGACCTTTAAACTTAACTTCACTTTCATTACACTGGTCACATGACCAGCAGCTTATGCGTTGGATCTTGTGTGACTCCCATCTGGGGTGCCCTGCTGCGGGGCCTGGTCCAGGTGGGGGCAGCTCCAGGATCCACGTGCACCCTGCCAGCTCCCTACACCTACAAAGACAGTGCGCCCCCTCCCCCGCTACAACCCCACCCCACCTTGTTGCTTTTTCTTTGGTCTGTGGAGCTGGATTTGCTTGTTTTGATCAAGGCCAGGGGTGTTGGGTGTTGGGGAAGGTCTTTCCAGATCACACATTCACACCTCGGGCTCTGGCCTAGGCCCATCCCTGGGACATGGAATAACAGATCCACAAACTCGCCAACTTGCAAGGCACAAAAGTCTTAATGCTCCGGGTTTTTGTAAAAGACCAGAGGCAGGGAACCAGAAGTCAGTAAGAGGGTGTCTCGGTAGAACCTCAAAGCCAGGCAGGCATGTGTGAGCCAAGCGCACCAAGGGCTGGCAGTATGCCCTACGGGTTAGGAACTGTGCTGGATGACTTTATTTCATTTAAGTTTTTATTTTATGTAAGCGGTGGAGCAAAGGTTGACCAGCTTCCATAAAGGCCCAGAGAGGAAATATTTTAGGCTTTGTGATGCTGTCTATATAAACAAATCCATAGCTGCCTTTCAATTAACCTGTGTCAAAACAGCCAGTTAAGTGGGTTTGGCCTGTTATTTGCCAATTCCTGTTTTGAAAGATTTTGAGATGCTTGGGATTATTTATTTTTCTTAGAATTTTCTGGGGAACAACCTATGTACCAGCTGTTTGCCACCGAGAAAGCAGACGAAGGTGCTGACTGGGAGCCTCGCCTCTGGTCAGACTGCCTGGGTGTGAACTGTGACTCAGCAGCCTGCTGCTGGCCCAACCTTGTGGTAGCCCCAAGCCTGTGGGTCCTCAGTGGTTACCTGAGATGACAATGGTGTTTACCTTGCAGGGCTGTTTATGAGGATTAGATGATTTTACCTGTATGCACTTTGAACAGCATTGGCACAGTGGAAATATTAGCTGTTGTTCACTTTTTCTCATCTGAGTCTCAAACAATAGGAAATGCTTTGTGAGTTCCTTCCGGGTCACCTTAAGTTTATTCTCATATCTGAAAGCTTCAGTTTGCTGAAGGGTGATGGCAAAAATAAGGTCCTCTGACTTGCCTGGGTGCCAGTGGCTGCCGTCGCTGGCAGAAATGCCACATCTCCTTTCCTTCAGGGGACTGGCCTTGTCCCCAACAGAGGGCCAGTTGACGTTATAACCCCGTGGCTTAGATTCCCACCATGCTCAGCTCTGGCTGCTGGCCAGCCTTGGGATCTTAGAGTTGAGTTGTATTGAGGATATCAGAAGACTATATAGAAAGTTAGCAAAATCCTTTTCCTCCCCAGGGCCTTGCAGAAAGGCTCTCTCTGCCTTTCCCTTCCGAACCCAGCCAGGCAGCAGGCTCTTCCTGCTAGAAGGAGCCCTGGTTTCTTTTTGCAGAAGGGGAAACTGTGGCCCAGAGCGTTGAAAAGATTTATTTAAGGTTGCAAAGCTAATAGCGGAGCCAGGATTAAAATCAGGTTTCCTGTCTCTCACTTCCTAACTTCTGACTTTCCCCCACTTCCAAGTAATACATTCACAGCCAGCATGGTACTGAACACACACCATGGGTGTTTCCTGGCAAGGGACACTGGTTGGGGGAGGAGTGTCACAGGGCAGGCCTGGATGCCCAATGCTCCCTGTTCCCCATATCTGTGGTGCATTTCCTAATTGCCTGTCCTCTCCGCATTGCTTTCCCAGAGCTCAGTGCCTCCGACGACAGCTCCCTGTCAGATGCGCTGCTCCTGGAGGAAGGTGAGACGGTGCTCTCAGGGCGGTTGCCAGGACTGGGCTCCTCAAGCAAGAACTGCGGCTTTGGCAGAGCTTGCCGAGGAGGACTTCCACTGGGAGTGAGGTTGGATGAGCGAGTGAAGGCCGCTTGATGCCCGTCACTGGGTGGGGCGTGGGGCGGGTCCTGGCCCCCCTCTCTCATGCTACAAACGCAGCCATTTGACAGGACGAGGAAAGACCACTGCTAGCACTAGCCCAGAGTCGTCCCCAAGAGACTCTGCCTTGGCCCTGAGATTTTATTCCAATACGCCCCTGCCACACCCCAAGGGCCATCTGGCCACAGTCACTGCCCTTTTTAAAAGATGGTGGCACTGGGGGAGGACGCAAATCTATAGATTATGAACCACGGGGGTGGGAGAGTCAAAAGGGGCCAAGAAGGTAGTGCAGTGCTGCCCAGAGGCATGCCATGGCCAGTAAGGAAAGAGGGCACAAGGTGAACAAGAAAAGTAGGTGCAGGTTACTGCAGATGTGGCATTGGGGTGTAGGTGGTTGGCAGAGTGCTACAAGGTGAGCCAAGGAGAGTCAATCTGGGGGGACCTCTTGAAAGAGGAGGGTGTAAATAGGGCTGGAAGGGAGGGAGGAAGTCCCAAGGAGAGGGAAACATTTTTGACTATCTGGGGCGGCAGTCAGTGCCTGGAGTGACAGGACGGGTGGAGTCTCAGTCGGCTAAGGTTCTTGTTGGGCTGGTTCCTCGGGCATTGCCTTCACCGGTTTTCTCCCCCTGCAGAGGAGTGCCAAGCGCCAAAACCTCCCCCAGAGTCCCCGGCTCTACCTTCCCGGCCTCTCCCACCTCAGAGCCTTGAAGGGCTGCAGCCCGCGGGACCCGAGACTGGGGGCCTGGACCGGGCCCCCATCCAGAACAGCCCCTGGAAGGAGACCAGCCTGGATCACCCCTATGAGAAGCCCAGGAAGTCTTCTGAACCCAGCAGCGAGTCCAGGTCAGGCTGGGGAGGCAGGCTGGGTGGGAGGCAGGTGGGAACCGTGTTGGGGGTAGCTGCAGGCTGGGCAGGGCCGGGAGATCATCCTCCCCTTAGCTGTGTGATAGTGCAAGGGTGAGCTTTGCTAGTTCTTACAGGAACTGACATTTTGCACCCTAGCTTTGGAGTCCCCTTCCACTGTACCCTCCCCTCTGTACAACCTGAGCCCTTAAGTGAAGGCATCATGCCACTGACTTATCTCCAATCCTCATGCAGCAGCCCTGCCAGCACTCCCCAGGATGGACCCTGCGCCTCCAGCCTGTGGCTGGTGGATCCTGCCTCCTGCCATATGGTTCCCATCCACAATGTTCCCGGCCAGTGGCAGGGCCGCACCAGCGCCCCGGCCACCCCCGAGATGCAGGGGCGGAGGGGCCAGTCACAATCCCTAAGGTAAGACCACATCCAAGATGCAGGGGAGCGCAGCTTACATTGAGAGCAGCTTACATTGGCAGGGTGGTGGCTTCCAAGACAGGTGTGTGACCCACAGCTGGGGCCGCGGCTTCTCCTTGGGATCCTTCCCAGGCCTCTCTGCAGACGCTGAGTCACGACTCCCGAAGCCGAAGGCTCCAGTTTATCCAGTCTGCTAGCTCTCTCCCCTTGCCATACCCGCTTATAGCAAGAGAACATCTTGGCGGATATTTTGTGATTGTTATTACTGGTCACTGACAGTGCACAATTCACTATTTTAATTGATGAGCTGTCAGTGCCCATTTATTTGTGTCACTGCAAATACTGAATTTGTAAACACCGAACCACCGCTCCTGGGAAATCAGGTTCCTGAGACCTTTGGTCACAACGTTTTTGCCTACTGAGTGATACGTAACCTGGTTTTATGTGAGTTCATGGCTCAAGACACCTTATTTGATAGCTCTTGTGAACTCATTCACATTGAACTATTGGCCAGTGCATTATAAACACAGGCCCAAACAAAGCCGCGTCGTATCCCACTGTCGGATTAAATTGTGCCTAGGAACCTCTTCAGAACAGTCGGGGCCATTTAAACCAGTGGTTTCATCAACATGAGGCACGAAAATACAGAGAAGGTGACACTCAGAAAAGAGGAAAGGATACCTTTTTATTATTATTATGACAGTTTATTTTTACATCATTTTGCGCCTTTTCCCATCTCAGTCGTAATCCCCAAGGACTTCCCATCACCAATTTACCTGTGTGGCATCACCAGTTCTGTGCATTCCCCCCACCCCATTTTTTATCCCATTCCCCACTGCACCCTCATAAAATGTCTCTGGTATATATTTGTTCATTATTGTTATTTTTCTCCCTGGTCCTTTATGCTCCTGCATAAAGTGAAATCATCGGTATTTTTCTTTTTCTTTCTGCCTTATTTCACTAAGCATGATCCCTGCCAGCTGCATCCATGCTGCTGCAAAAGATAAACATGAGTTTATCTTTCTTCATTGCTGAGTAATATTCCACTGTGTATATGTACCACATCTTTTTGATCCAGTCATATACTTTTCGGCATTTCGGTTGATTCCATGTTGGAAAGGATACCTTTTTACAGCCCAACAGGCTCATAGGCAATTCCCAATTTTCATCACTACACTCCCATCTGCAAGTGACCACGCAGGTGCGGTGTCGATCTTGAGGTTATCAATAACATCAGCAGCAGGAACATCTGCAAATACATGCTCCATGCAGTTGTTTTCCAAGTCCTCTGCTACTTGGTGGCTGTGTTACATGAGCAAGTTAGCACAGGCCATGTTAGCGCCATCCCAGGGAGGCCCTGGGCACCGTCAAGTCTTCCCTGCTCTTCCTGCCAGCTTCAATTCCCTCATCAAGCTGCACTGGAGTAGATATGACTTATGACACCTGCTCTCAAGTCAAGCAGTGTGTTTTGTGTCTTACCTACTGCCCGGCCATTTTATAGACATTTTGCAGATTGGTAAGCTCCCCTACCCCCAGGCAAAGCCATTGGTTTCCTTCAGGGGGGAGGATATTAAGGCCGGATTTCTGCTCCCAGCCCAGACTGCCCTGGTGGAGGCAGTCTGCATGTAGCTTTCCTCTCTCAGCTGGCATTCCCAGAACAGAGCACAAAAGTCAAGTGGCTTCCACCAAGGAGGTCTCTCTCAGCTTTGGGTGCCAAAGTCTCAGACCAAGGTGGCGGCAGGATTGACTTCTTCAGAGGCCTTTCCCTATATCATCACTGGACATTGGTCCCATATGACACTTTCTGCTTTTCCCTTAGATACCTGCCAACGTCGACCTGAATAGATTCTGTGGCTGGAATGCCACTGAACTCAGTGAAACTAGAATACCTGAAACTAGGCAGCACTGAGGTGCACACTTTTCCCAAGCCACTGAGGTGGGGTGGGAGCTAGCTTGGCCTGAAGGAGGAGAGTCCCTGAAACACACACTAGGCTACGAGGGGTGTTTATCTGGGGGAGTTTGACCCCATGGATGGGTAGTGCCCCTTACCCCATTCTCTCCAAACCCTGCATGCAGCATTTCGGTCTCCCAGACTCTGTCTTCTCCCCCGCTCAGGATGGAGTCCTTCCGGGCCGGACCCGAGGGCCGAGGTCGCAGCGCCTTCCCGCGACGCCGGCCCACCCACTACACGGTGACGGTGCCCTCGTCCTGCTTTCCCCCGACCCAGCCACCGCTGCCGCACCCTGCCTACCACTCCTGCTCTGAGGACAGTGGCTCCGACGTCTCCAGCATCTCGCACCCCACCTCGCCAGGCAGTAGCAGCCCTGACATCTCCATTCTGCGGCCTCTGTCGCCCCCGCAGCTGCCGCGTCATCGCGGGGTCTGGGGCCCGGTCGCCCACCACCCCCAGTTGCTGCTGCCCCCTGGGTACCTCCCGGCCGGGCGCTATGTGATGGTGGCAGAGAGCCTCCTCCCACCGGGCGAGTTTGAGCTGTGCCGCACCCCGCTGGGCCGGGCCTACGACGAGGAGGGCGTGGCCCTGCGCTTCCAGCGCCTGGTGCCATCGCACAGCCGCGTGGTGCGGACACCCTCGCTGAAGGACAGTCCGGCCGGCCGTGGGCTCAGCAAAGCCGCCGTCTCCGAAGAGCTCAAGTCCTGGCACGAGCGAGCCCGGCTTCGCAGCTCCCGGCCCCACTCGCTGGACCGCCAAGGGGCCTTCCGCGTCCGGAGCCTGCCCCCCGGGAGAGAGGGATTCACTCGAGCCTTGGCGCCTCGGACGCAGGTATGGCTGCGGCGGTCACAGGCCTTCCCGCAGGAAAAGGCTGCAACTCTAGCAGGCCCAAGAACAGAGATCATCAGGTGGCTGGATGATCCCCAGCTCTGAGAACAGGGGAAAACCATTTCCTCTTGGCGGCGGAAGCCACTCCCCACCCCCCTAGGGCACCTCCTAATTTTGCCTGCCATGTCTAGCTCCAGAGCGTATACCCACACACGCTGCTGGAGATGAACGTCACAGATAGCTGAGGTTTTTTCCCTCTAGTAGCTCCAGAGTTGATCTGTACTCATAACCAAAGTCCAAAGACCACCAGGTATCCTGACTTAAGAGGCCCCCAAGGAAGGGTCAGCTTGGATATGTGGTTGCAGAAGCCAGAGTCGGGATTGCTCATCAGCAGGTTCTCCTTGCCCTTCTCCCACCGAGCCAGCTGCAAAGCTGGGTGACATAATGGTTCAGTGAACAGATCCTGAGGCTGGACAATCAGGTTCAAGCCTCAGACCTGCTACTTACCAGAACATGACTGGACAAGTTAATCAATTCCTCTCAGCCCCTGTAACATGGGAATCGTAAGGAACTTATCACATAGGGCCAGTAGAGCTGTAATGAATGAGTACGAGTGAGATTACTAGAGCCATGCAGAGTAAATAACACACAAGTGGTGTTACCTGGACCCAGAGACACAGAGCCGGTTGGTGGAGTGCTCTGGCCTGACACAGGTGGGCTGCTTCGCAGTTTCTTGTTTCTGGAAATGGAGATGACATGCGCACGAGTCCCCTTTCTTTATTCTTTCTCCTGGGAATGAAGAGTTCTATAGGAGACGTGCCCCAAAAGTACCAACAGGCTGCTCCTTTGAGACCCGAGATTTCCCAGCTGCGTTCCCTCCCCCACCCCCAGTTCTCTGGCTGCAGCTGGCAGCCTGGCCCTGTCCCAGGCCGCACCCTCCAGCTGACATGTTTCCCCCTTCCTGCGAGCTTAGACCTGTTCTTGGCCCAGGTCCAGCCTATCCCAACCTGCTAGACAGGGAGGGTGATGAAGCGAGCCCAGGAGAGTGGGGGGAGGAGGAGGTCAAGGTGCCTATCCCGCCCAAAGCAAACTGAAGCTGAAATGAATGAGGGTGTTCCATGAGGGCCAGAGCTTTCTGGAGAGGCAGGGGCTGCATCCTAAGGCCAGGGATGGTGTCACTGGGCTTTCTGTCTGCCTGACTTCTCACCCTCCTCCTTTCTCTCTGGCCTGGCAGGTACCTGCAGTGTGTGTGTTGCGGAGATCGCCCGAGGGGGCCCCTGTGCAAGTCTTTGTACCTGAGAACGGCGAGATCATCAGCCAGGTGTAACCAAGGACAGGGTCATCTGCTCCAAGTGCCTCAGCCCGGCCCCGCTGTCAGGAAAGACTGTGTCCTCGGGGGCTGGACTGACACTGCCCCTAAGTGCCTTCTTCAGCTCCCTTCCCCCATCGCAGGTCGATGACCTGGAGCTGAATTTTTTTTTTTACCAGTTTTTATTTGGAAGTTCTGGACTGAGGATTTATATTTGTGATTTGTTCTCAAGATCCCTGTAATATGATGTTTTATTGCCCAGAAACTGGCCTACTGGACTTGAGGGCTGACAGCATTTGTCTCCACATGCAAGGAGTGGACTGGGGTGCGTGAAGCAGGGAGCGCATACGGAATTCCTCAAACGCTCCTGCTCCTGGTTGCAAGAAGCTCCTGGAGGACAGCTCTGGCCCTCTTGGCCCACTGGCGAATATATCACTCCCCATGTCCCAGGTCTCTGGGTAGTGTAGTGCCCCCGCTGGGGGGAATCTCCTCACCCTTTATACTGTGCTCTGTGACGCACACACCAATGGTCAGCATGCCCCGGTGGAGGTCTTCCTGGCCCTGTAAGTCCTCTGTAGGGACCCCCAGTCACTATTCCCTCCCTCTGCCCTGTGGGCTCCCAGCATCCACCCAGACCTCGGAACCTAGAGTTTGAGGCCCCTCCCCCACCGCCAGCTCAGAAGGCCCAGGGGTGGGTGCTGGTGTTGGTTGGAGAACACCTCGCCCTGGAACCATCTTGAGGCCTCAGGGAGCCTGATGTTCCATCTCTCTGACATTTCATATTGTCCTAAGCCGAGACTTCGTCATATTTATAGAATGGCACCGCTCTTGTGTCACGCTCTCTTGCTGCACCTGTGAGATGAGACGTGGGTTCCATGAAGGGGGCGCCTCTCTGTGCAGACACGACGCCTAAGGGTGCTGGTCAGCTGTTCCAGCCACGTGGACGTGAATGGCCTGGAAGCCCCCAGCTTCTCATCCTGGGCCCTTGTTCCTGCCCGAAGCCTGCTTCAGAGAGAAGGCTGCTGAGTGGACGGTGGAGGCTTGGAGGGTTGGCGGGGG